TTTGGGTTTGTGAGATTTCTAGAGGTGAAAGACAAGAAAGAGCTAGAAAGAAAACTGGACCAGATCTGGATAGAGAACCGCAAATTATGGGTGAATACCCCAAGATATGATGAGGCACAGAAGGACACAAGGGTGCAGGAAAACAAGCGCCATTCGGAACCAAAAATTCAGAGCAGGAGCTATGCTGAGGTGGTGAGAGGGCAACAAGTGAAAAGACTGAATGAGGAAGGAAAAACCCAGCTTAAAGAAAACCAAACTGAAGGTCACAGGCAGAGCAGAAGTAGATCCAGAGTTGAAAAATAGAGCAACAATGGCAGACAAGTATGGCAGGAAAAAGGAAAAAGCGACAGGTGGGTTGGATTCGAGTATAATGTCAAAGCAGAAGACTACATATGGCTGGACGGATGTTATGTAGGAAAGGTCCATAATGTGGAAATGGTACGCAATCTACAAGAAAAATTCTACATGGAAGGGTATTTTTCTTGTTGAATCCGTGCTATGGGAGGAAAAATGGTGCTGCTAGATGGTGATGACAAAGATGAATTAAAAGCACTAGTGGAGATGGCATCCGAATAGTTAGGACGATGGTTTGAAGAGCTACGACCATGGTCTCCAAAAATGGTCGCTGATGAAAGATTTGTATGGATTAGATGTCAAGGAGTCCCTTTGAATGCTTGGGGGCCAGAGTTTTTTGCATCCATGGGAGCTTTATAGGGCAAATTTATTTGTTTAGATGATAGTACAAGCCAAAGGAAGAGGTTCGACATTGCCAGATTCCTAATCTCAACTCCGAGTATGAACACCATATCAATTAGAAGACAAATTAAAATCAATGGGTCTTTCTACAATGTCAAGTTCATGGAGGAGGAGTTCACTAATAGTTTTGTCTCCTTGAAGCAAGATTTCATGCCCACCTTCTAGAGTGAGTTTGAGGATTACGAATCATGGTCATTGGGTAGTGAAAATGAGGGCTTTGATTTTGAAAATATAGAAGAGATAGAGCAGGAAAAAGAAAGAACAGATGAGGAAGAGAAAGAAGATGATGATGTGGCATACAGTAAAAAAAAGATTAATGAAAAGGGCTGGTTGCATGCTGATCAACGGGAAGAGGTGACAATTGAAGCAGTGGCGGACAGCTTGGATCAGGTTCAAATTTTGAATTATGGAAAAACCAGAGCAGCAGGGGAACAAAGGACGCAGTAGTTGGTGAGTGGTGAAAATACAGCAAGCCCAGGTGAAGTTGAAAAGGGTAATCTGGGTTGGAAGAAAAATTGAATAAGAGACAAAATAGGAAGCCAAATCCACAAGGAGCTAGGCCAAGTACTGTGGAGTCCACCAATATGGGTTTGGGCCATAAAATATTAAACCCAAGCCTGTTACTTGATAAAGAAATGGAGGAATCTAGAAATGGTGAGGCTGATTCAGCAAAAAACAAAAAAGTAGGAGGAGATCTGAAATGGAAGCACACCGAAAGTGCAAAAGAATAGAGAAGAGAAGGTGTCTTGGTTTGGTCGGCCTTTGAAAGTGACGAAGAGCAGAGACAAGTGGGAGACCAATTTTGGAGGGGTCTCAAACATGCAGAGGAATACAGCCAAGAAGGGAACTGGTACCGGGAAGAAGCTAATGGCGAAGAAGAACAGAGGAGAGAAGGAGGCTTGGTTCGGTCGGCCCTTGAAAGTGACGAAGCGCAAAGACAAGAGGGAGACCATTTTTGGAGGGGTCTCGAGCATGTAGAGGAATACAGCCAGGAAGGGGACTGGTACCGGGAAGAAGCTAACGGCAAAGAAGAACAGAGGCAAGAAAGAGATCTGACTTACAAAGGTTGTGAGTGTGAAGAAAAATAGAGACAAAATTGAAAGTTGAGGTAGATGATGAGAACCCAACAGAAAAGGAGGAAGAAAATCAGACTTTGCAGCTTGGTTTATCAAAGGGATGAAGCTATTGGGGAGAGAAAGAAAAGATTAAATGGTCATAGGAGAAAAATCAGGAAATCAATGGGGGAGAAGCTAATACCGGAGTTTTTAAGGAGCCCAGAAGGTGAAGTAGCGGATATCTCCATTGGTGATAACGGAATTCAAAACTGCAACAAGATGATGAAAAAACAACTTCAAAATCAGTTAGCTAAAGAAATATGGCAGTTAGCTAAACACCTAGGGGCGATAGTAGATAACGATGATGTGATTTTGCAAAAAATTGAAGAAATGGAATGTAAAGACAGACAAGCAAAGGAAGAGAAGATGAACTGGGAAGTAGATAATGCACAGAAGGTAAGCAAAGCCCCTAATGATATTGTTATCCTTTAACATTAGAGGACTAGGTGGGGTGGTTAAAAAAAGAAAAATAAAGGAGTTGGTTATGAAGGAGAGTGGATTTTTTAGCAATATAAGAGACTAAAATGGAGAGTATTGATAAGAGTACATGTAGGAGAGTTTGGGGAATTGATGATTTTGATTGGATTTTTAAACCTTTTGTGGGTATGTCCGAAGGCCTTTTGTGCATTTGGAATATTAATGTGTTTTAAAAAAAGGAGCTGATAGAGGGGAATAATTTCATTGGGGTGTGTGGTAGTTGGGGAGAGGAACAGACGCTAGTGTATGTGCTTGTATGTGCTTAATGCTTATTCTTCATGTCATCTGATGGGAAAAAGAACTTTATGGGAGGATCTACTGAATTTGATGAATAGAAGACCAGGAAAGTGGTGTATAGGAGGTGATTTCAATGTTGTAAGAAAGGTAGGGGAAAGGGAGGGGTGTATGAGTTTAACTACGGAAATGAGGGAGTTTGATAGCTTTATTCAAGATGCTGGACTAGTTGATTTACCTCTGGTGGGCAGAAAATATACTTGGTATAGCTCTAACAGCCAGTGTATGAGTAGGCTCAATAGGTTTCCGCTCTCAAAAGAATGGCTTGAAAAATGGGGGGATGTAAAATAGTGGGGTTTGGAAAGATTAGTGTTAGATCACTGCCCTATACTACTAAAGAATGAAAGGGTTGATTGGGGGCCAAAACCTTTGCTTGGCTAGAGAAACTTGAGTGCATGGAGGTGATTCAAAAGGCGTGGAATTCCACAGCACCCAATGGCTGGAAGGGTTTCAGGTTAAAGGAGAAATTGAAAAAAACCAAAAATGCCTTGAAGGAATGGAGCGGTAACTACATGGTTGATACCGTTTGTAGAATAAAGGAAGCAGAAATGGTAATAGCTATAATAGATGAGAAAGGGGAAAATGGCACACTCACAACAAAAGACATTAGGAAAGGTTGTTTCATAGAGCTATGGAGGAATTTAAGGATTAAGGAGAGCATGTGGCAGCAAAAATCAAGGAAGATGTGGCTAAAAGAAGGGGATGCAAACACAAAATTCTACCACAGTTGTGTGAAAGGCAGATGGAGAAAAAAATGAAATTAACAGCATCCAAATTAATAATAAGCGGCTTGGGGGGGTGGCTGAGATAAGAGAAGAGGTGGTGAGCTACTTTCAAGGTTTATTCACAGAAGAAATGTGGTAAAGACCAAGGCTAGATGGCATTAATTTTAATCAACTATCCCAGACAGACAATGAGTCTCTTACGGCTATTTTCTCTGAAGAAGAAATCAAAAATGCAATTTGGGATTGTGATTCGACAAAATCCCCTGGTCCAAACGGGTTCAACTTCAGATTCATAAAGGCTATATGGGAGGACATAAAACAAGACATTATTAGTTTCGCTTAGGAATTCCACAAGCATGGGAAGCTGGTGAGAGGATCAAACGCTTCATTCATTGTTTTAATCCCGAAAGTTGAAAACCCCCAAAGAATTGAGGAGTATAGACCCATCTTACTCATTGGGGTGATGTACAAGATCATTGCAAAGCTGCTAGCTAACCGCCTCAGAAAAGTACTGGACAAGATCATCGGGGAGCAATAGATGGCATTCATAGGAGGTAGGCAACTGATGGATAGCGTTGTGATTGCCAATGAGGTGATTGATGAGGCGAAGAGGAAGAATATAAAGAGCTTTTTGTTCAAAGTCGACTTTGAAAAAGCTTACAATAAAGTCAGCTGGGATTTCATTGATTACATGTTATACAGGATGGGGTTTCTAGTCAAATGGAGAAAATAGATAAGGGAGTGCTTGCAATCGAGCATGATCTCAATTTTTCTTAATGGAAGCCCAACAAGACAATTCCAGGTCAGCAAAGGAATAAGACAAGGTGACCCATTATCCCCTTTCTTATTCCTAGTAGTGGCGGAGGGACTAAATGGTTTAGTGCAGTTTGCAGTGGAGAAGGAGCTGTATAAAGGAGTGAAGATAGGCAACGGTAGTGTGATGGTTTCTCACCTTCAATATGCTGACGATATAATATTTTCTGGCGAGGCAACAGAAGAAAATATACTTGCAATCAAATGCATCATGAGGACTTTCGAACTAGTCTCGGGGTTGAAAATTAAGTATGGAAAAAGTCAATTAATGGGTGTTTGGATTGAGGACAGTTGGAAGAAGAAGATGGCTTACAGGCTATGCTGTAAAGAGGGGGAACTTCCTTTCAAGTACTTAGGAATTCCAATCGGAAGAATCATAGAAACCTAGCAATGTGGCAACCGCTGGTGGATACTTTTAAAAAGAAACTTGCAAGCTCTAGAAAGGTAGACACTTACCTTTCAGAGGTCGGATCACGCTCATAAACTCTGTGTTATCCAGTCTACCTGTGTTCATAATGTCAGCCTACCAAATACCTAAAGGTATACTCTATTCTCTTGATAAAATTCGTAGATGTTTTTTTTATGGGGAGGGGGGGAAGAGTTAAAAAAAACTAATTGGGTTAAATGGGAGAGGGTTTGTAAACAAAAGAAGTATTGAGGGCTAGGAGTGAGGGACTTGAGGAAATTTAATATGGCATTGATGGGAAAATGGTGGGGAAGGCTTGCAAATATGGAAAAGGGATTGTGAAGGAGTGTCATGGAAGGGAAATATGGATAGAATGGAGGGCATTGGCTGGATTGGGTGTGAGATGGCAAAAATGTAGGATCACTATGGTGGAGAGATGTACAAAACCTCAATGTGGGGGAAGGGGCAAATGGGGGGTGGTTGTCATCGGGCTTTAGGATGAAGATAGGGGAAGGGAAAGATGGGAGTTTCTGGTGGGATGAGTGGTGTGAGGAGGTTTGCTTGGCTAATAAATTTCCTAGATTATATCTCTTATCAACAGGGAAGGAAAACAAGTGCCACCAAATGGGTCAAGACTTCAATGGCACATGGAAATGAAACCTTGCATGGAGAAGAAATTTGTTCGAGTGGGAAGATGAGGACGTAAAGGAACTTAAAAGGATGATTGAGAATGTGACAATCACACTAGGTCGACCGGACAAATGGGAATGGATTCATAGCAATGATGGTCAATACTCAACAAAAACAGCTTACTCAATGTTAGTAAAACAAAGAAGAGAATCGGAGGAAGCTGAAATATTCAAAAGAATATGGAGCAAGATTCTCCCAAGCAAAGTTGCACCTTTCAACGGGAAAGTAATGCTTGACAAAATTCCAACCAAGACAAACTTGCTCAAAAGAGGAATTGTCAAAGATACAGGAGAAAGAAAGTGTGTTATGTGTGAGAATGAGGATGAAGACTCTAACCATTTGTTCCTGAATTGTAGTATAGCTAGAAGGTTGTGGCAGGCATGTGCAAATTGGTGGGGGATCACTGTCACGTTACACAAGGATTGTTGGAAAACCTTTCAAAATTTTGGAGCATGGACCACAAGCTCATGAATTTCAAAAGGATGGGATTGCATATGGAACTCATTTATTTGGTCAGTGTGGATGGCCTGAAATAGGAAGATTTTCTAGAATTTGAAGGTAAATTGGGCCAAACTCTTTGAACTTATTCAATTGCGCTTTTTTGCATGGATTAAGGCAAGAAAAGCCAAATGTTATTAAAAGCCAAATGTTATTTCAATCCTTCAAATCGGTTAACCAACCCTATTTCATGTCTCTCTATTAACCGTGGGAGGAAAAAGTAGATTTAGTAGGAAGGGTTTGAAAGATGGGATTAACATTGAAAGGCTTCTATATAGCTTATGTAAACGGGTTTGAGTACCCATTATACTCAGTTATTAATTAACTTATATTTTGCTGTTCAAAAAGAAAAATTATGTGAATGAAAGTTAATTTTTTTAATACTTAATCTTTTGAACAGTTTCACTTAATAAAAAAATCAGTTACAGTGTTCTAGGTAAGGCGCGCTTCTGCCTACATCCAGATAGATTGTGATTGTAGTGTGGATCCTTCTTTTTTTTTTTTTTGGCAGTCGATTGCAATGTGGTTTAACAGGAAAAAAAAAAAAAAAAAAACCCAGTAAACTGGGCACGAGCATATCGCATTGGTCATCCACTCAACCAAAACCATGAACTCGAAAATGAACCCATCAAACATTAATTGTTTGCTGTCGGAAGCAGTACCCACCCCATGAATCCCAGCCCTCTGTTAAGGACACGTGTCACTATTTTAAAACCCATGCAGGATACATCCCTCTAAAGCACATGGAAGCCTCTACTCCACCCATGGTTTTCAGACAACTTTGCCCCAAACCACTGGCTCCCTTGCAATCTTTGGAAGAAAAGGGAATACTTTAGGAAACAAGACAAAATTTAAAAAAGTTTTAATAAAAACTAGAACGGACATTAATTAATAGTATGGATTTCTGTGTCTAAGTTAAGAATATAAATGGATAGAGAGATCAGATCCCAGGACACCACCATTCAATATTATGATAAAATTTCCGAATTTCTCACCTACTCTTGCTTTTGCACCTAATTTTCCGGAGAAAACCGGGGGCATGTTGGGAACAAACCCAAAGGATTAACCGACATTAACAGAACCCAAGTGAAAACTATTGTCTCCGACGATGGAATTGTAATGAAACCATCAAATTGGAGTGCCAATCCCAACACATGATAACACTATCTCTTTCTCTTCCATCCTCTTCAAAATTTTGCTAATAAATACCCATGAACATCTCAGCACTCTTCATCTGGAAAAGCTTCAATACTTTCTCTCTTTCTTCTCATCGGCACTAATTTCGCTGATTTAAGTTCCTGTGTATTAAAAATGGCAAAGAATGTGGCTCTTGAGAGAGCTAGCTTGGCTTCACTGGACCAAAAGCTGGCCATGGCAAAGAAGTATTCTCATGGTGAGTTCTCCATTTTCTCTTCGTTAGTGCTTCACATTTTTAAGATTAATTGTGTTATGCCCTAAAAGCAAGATGATTAATAAGGGGAGATCTTAGTTATTATATTAGGATCTATATAAAATATCTCTCTTTCAGCTTGAGTCGTGAAGGAGTGTACAAAAATTTTAAAATTTAAATTAAAAATTTTATATTCAAATTTAGAGATAAGTAATGAATATAGGAAATGAGAAGAAAGCTAATATCTGATGTATAAATAAGAAAAAAAAGTTCGTAAAGGGTCTTTCTTGAAATTCTCAAATGCATAAGAAGAGATTTTTGACTTTTTAGAGAATGGAGACGACTATGTCCCACAGACCCAATTAAATGATTTTCTTTCAAAATAAAAAAAGGGTCCCTCAGCTTTAAGTTATTCTTAATATATTCATTACTTCGCTTAATGTTTGATGAAATTATGCAGAGGGCGTTATTGCTGGAGCCAAGGCAGCAGTTGTTGCTAGCATTGCCGCTGCCATTCCAACAGTAAGTCATCATTTCTTCATCATGAGTTTTTACCATCATACTATGCATTGTTAGTTGTGATTGAAGAATAGAATCTAAGATTGGATCGCCAATGCATTGCAGCTGGCTAGTGTGAGGATGCTGCCTTGGGCCAGAGCCAATCTGAATCCCACTGCTCAAGCCCTCATAATCTCCACAGCAGCTGGAGCTGCGTATTTCATTGTTGCCGATAAGACTGTTTTGGCCACGGCAAGAAAGAACTCTTTCAAGCATATCTCTAGCATTGAGGCATGAATTTGAATTGCTAAGACAGATTCAAAATTTGGCTTCCACTTGAAAATCAGGGTCTTTAGAAAGACATTAATTTCGAATGTAATCCATCATCTCATAAATAAATAAAGATTGGTTTTTCGTTTTTTACAATCATCTTCAACCATCATTTGAGGCTAATTCATTAATTATCAACACAATTTGTACAAGTAAAAGCCACAAAGATTAATGCAACCCTGCTCTATACATGTATACGTACACAAGACAAGGTCTTACCTTTCACCAGCATTCCTTGTATGAGCAGAATCTATCTTTGAAATGATGGAACTGATAATTACTGTCTCTTGCAATCATTGTCCCTTTGAGGAACTTGTAAATCAGCCTTTTGGCTAGAATGGCAATTTCCACAAACGCGAAGATTCTTCACAATTCTGATTGTTATCTCTGGCCTTGCACTGATTAATCCAAAAGCTATTGCTGACTTCTCAATGTGGCAAGGACATCTTTCCACTCTTCGTCCATGTGTAAAGCCCTCAGGTGTATCAGGCGCAAACCGAGCTTTCTCTAGAGGAGCATCCACTGCCTCAAGCATACATTTCTATTTCTCTAAGGATGAACTGTCTTCTCCAAGGTACTCTTGAACAAGAATATCCACCGAAATGGAGCTACATCCAGGAACTTTCTCCATTCCTTTATGATTTTAGTATTGTTCCTATTCTTGCTACACCATCCCATCTACCAGCTCCTGCATAAATGGAGCTAGGTTTTCAGGTTGCAATTTGAAAAGCTTCTTATCCACAGATTCAGGGAACGCAGCATGTCTATGAACCCAACAACCTCCAAGCAAAGATCCCCATATTGCAACATCTGGGTTCATTTCAATGTTCTTAATTAAAAGATTCTGCTTCATTATACAATCCACCTTTGGCTTAGAAGATCAGCCATACATCCATAATGTTCCAATTATGGTTAACAGTTGCAGTGCTCTTTGATCATTGAATGAAAATATCGACATCCAGAACTGAGAAAACCAGCATGATTGCAGGCATATAATACACCAATATATGTGATCTCATCAGGTTTGAATCCTTCACTAGTTAGTCTTGAGAAAAGCTCATTGCCTTCAGTTAAGTTTTTTACATTTTAAACCCTCAGGCTTGCCTCGTAGCCTATATGCTTCCATGCTTAACATACACATCATATCAATGGGAGTTGTCCACAGAGAAGCAGATTCAAATCCTGAAAATTTTTATCTGTATATGCATAAATCCATTTCCCAAGACTGAAGTGACCGCAATAGGCTCTGCATTTGGTCATAGCATTAAGCGAAAGAGTCTTAAAGGGCTTCTTTAAGGTGGGGTTATTACCACATCCTAAATAGTTAATGCCACATATTTTTAATATGATTGTTTATTATACCTTTACATTATATTTTTTCTCAAAAATTTTTAATAAATTAAAGAGTATAATAATTAATTAAAATTAAAAAAAAATGTGACATTAGTAATTGAGGATGTGGCAATAACATCACATGCTTCTTCATAGTGGCTTATTTGAGTATAACCACCAATTATCACATTGCCATGAAACCACATGTTGTACCCAAACAGATCCCTGGCTGTGTCAAAATCACCACTCTTTGAATGCATATCAATTAGATCGTTTACAACATGAAGATTTTCAACCAAGTCTATTTTCCTCAAACCATGACCTGATAAACATAAGCCCAATTCAAAAGAACTTTTAAGCCGAAGGGATGATAACCAATGCGTTTTCATTCGGCTTAACATTTGCTGCCTCCTAATATTGACCTCTTTGGGCGTAGCTTGCAATCATAGGATTGCACAAGATGACAACTTTCTCAGGCATTTCATCATACAGCTTTTGAGCACTATCCATACATCCCCTTGGAGCATTACGAGTTATATCCCTGGCGACCGCCCTGACAACCTCCTCCAAAACCTCCTATTTATCTCTGTCCTTTCCAAATGCAAGAGCATCAAATCTATCAAACAAGTCCACTCGCATATCGAAGACGGAGCCAGATGAGTTATGGCGGTGAAATTTTAAAATTTTTTCGGGAGTCAAGATCGTTTAATATTAGTATAAAAAATACTAATCTTTAACCATTAATTATGTGATTTGATAGTAAAATTATAAGTGTCTTTAATCACAAGTTTAGAATTTAATTTTTAATTTGTAGGTACAAAAAAAACTTAAATCAATTTTATTATATTAATCACTAATTTTATGTGCCAATGTATTATTTTATTTTGGCCTAGATGACGGCAACCAAAGAGGGGGAGTGAATTGGGTTTCCAAAAACTTTATGCAGTTTTTCAAAAACAAAACAATAAGCAAGTACAAGCAATTGCAAACAATTAATTTAAAGTGCAAAAATTAAGAGTTAAGAGAAAAGAGAAAGCTCAAACACAAGGATTTATAGTGGTTTAGTCACAATTTGTGCCTAATCCACTCTTTAAGCGGTCTGCTTGAGAGTTTGCTTTGGATTCAAAAGTTCTCCTCCAACTTCAGGTGTAGAGGCAACCATTTATGATAGCTTTGTCGATGCTATCGACCTTCAGCAAATCAACCACTTATTACAATCTCTCACAAACCCAATCCTATATCACAAGGTTGGTTTTCTTTAGATCTAACAAGGTTACCCAATCTCCAATAAGGAGTTCGATTCTTCTTAAGCAAGATCTCGAGTTCAAGTTTTGTAAATGGAAAAACAATCATTGGGAGAGCTTTCCCCCTCTATTGGTCTAAAGCAGTTTGATTCTCAATTAGTTAGGACCCAATGTGATTATTGGATATTGGAAGGTTAATACCAAAAAACAAGGTTTCCCAATCACTTTCTCAATAGCTTATGAGTTCTTCCTATACCTTAAGATGGATTATCAGATCTAATAAGGTTTTCCCAATCCCTCTCTCACTTGTTACAATGAAAGAGAACAAGAACAAGAATATAAAAGAGTTGATCTCTCAAAGAACAAAAGTGGAAGCTCAATCTCTCTTTCTTTCTAAGGTTGAAAGCTTTTCTTCTTTTTCTTCTTGTGTTCTTTTCTGCTTCAAGGTCTAATATATATGCCTCAAAATTGCTCAATCCAAAGATTATGACCGTTGAAGCATGATTGCAAAGAATATAATCCAAGTATGGTAAGTTATTCAAAGTCTTCAGCATAAGGGATTGGAACCTGCCTTCAAGAGTTGGAACCTGAGCAATTACCTACACTACCTTGCAAAAAACAAATTTATAAAGGGTTCCGGACCCTATGTCAGGGGTTGGAACCTCAACTGTAGAATATAGGTTTTATTTTTGTTACTCACAACAAAAGGAAATGTATTGAATATGTAATCACACAATTAAATGGGTTTCTACCAAAAAGGAAATATATTCAAAACTTAATATTTGGAAATCAATTCAATATTACTAGAAATAAACCACGTAATATATTCCAATTCACAAATAAGTTAAGTAAATATTTCAATTCACATTTGGTTTTTGAGATGCAAAGTAGCAAAATGGATTTGGAAGGAGTGTGCTAAATGGTGGGGGATCTCTATAAGGATGGAGACGGACTGCTGGACAACCTTCGACCACTTTGAGGCATGGACCAATGACAAACGGCTCAAAAATGGATGGGATTGTATCTGGAGTGCAGTGATCTGGTCAATTTGGCTTCTACGAAATAGGAAGATATTTCAAGATCAGGAAACAAACATGGGTAAGCTGTTGGAGTTAATACAATTAAGATCTTATTTCTGGATTAATTCAAGTAAGGCTGGTTGTCACTTTTACCTTTCAGATTGGTTGTCTAATCCTATAGCTTGTCTTACGGATGGTTAAGAGTAAGCCTAGGAGAAGAATAGTTTGAAAGATAGGAGTAACACATGTAGCCTATTCCTTCTCTGTTCTTGTGTAAGTAATTAGGTGGAGTACTACTTGTACATCCACACTAATCTTAATAAATTACCTTT